CATTATAATTTTTAATACTACATATATTAAATTATAGTTTTGCACTATTTGCCATTATACAAAATCAAAGTTTGAGTTAATAATATTATTAGATTCTAGTGTTATATATTTTGATTTAAATGATGTCAAGTGTTTAAAACTGGTTTATTTTATAACAAGTAAATATGTTAATTATTACAAATTCGTTTAACTTGTTCAAAGCGTTATTTAAATCATACTTATGTAATGATTTACTCATATCGATAAAACATTGATCAGTGATTAACTTTGATGAATTTACATAACACATAAATTAGTTTTATATTTGAGCCTATTTATTATACATAACATCCAATATTTTTGTACAAAATCGATATTTCGATTGATGATTCGTTAACTAATACTAAACATATTACGGTTCATAAGTAGTTTTAATACTATACACAAATAGTTTAAACATACATTCTACATATATGTGATAATGTAAACGAATAGACTGTTTGCTATATTTATTTACAAATAAAGATAGAGCGCAGTGCGCAGCACAAAATGTATGCCTAATTGGACATTTATTTTTAGAAATATTTAGGAGATAAATACAGTTTGTTACTCAGCGATATATGTATGCTAGGAAGTGAGAGGCCTGGAGTACAACGGTCTACTTCTGTGAGCATGTAATGCTGCAGAAGTAGGCTGCTGAGAAATTGAGGGAGAGGTCTGGGGTTGACCGTAGACTGGCCGGTGGTTCAAGGCTGTTTTCTCGGTCTCAAGTGTCCCGGAACCGCAGGTCGTGATTGAGCTCCGTGATTTTCAAAACGTGATTTTGAAAAAAAAAACACATAAATCATTGTAAGTCACCATTATCAAACTAACTAAAAAAACGGTCCAGAGTGAGTTTATTAATACACACGCACATAAGATTTATATATGTACACATACATATATGTAAAAATTTATAGCAAAAATCTAACGATAAAATAGCTAGTCAAAATTAATTAATTTTTATATATTAGGCCATTTCTTATACGCCAAAACTAAACTAAAGCAAAATTTAAAATATTTGACTAAATTTGACTTGTTCGGATATGAGTATTTAAAGCGCTCTACAGCCTTTTGCGCAAACATGATCGATCCGTCACAAACAATGACGTGTTGGATGACATCAGCCAGGAGTCAAACCTACGTTTATATTTGGTAATGGCCCTCCAACGCCGTACCTACGCACTATGCTAATTTAATACGGTTAAGGGCGTAAAATAAAAACAATCTTATAACAAGCCAATTAGAAGTCTTCGAGATAGAAATGTATTTTTATTCTAGTTTTGAAGTACAAGTCAAGTCAAGTCAAAGTCAAAAATCATTTATCGTATAGGTAACACAAAAGTAAAAATCATTTATTAATATATGTACACTTATGAACGTCAAAACAGATATACATTAAATGCTTCTAATTTTACATTTACTGCCAGTTCTGAAATCAAGGGCGTAGAACGGAAGAGAAGAGGAATCGCCAAGTTTACATATAATACCAGCGGCGCTACCACTACTGATAAGACTCAGATTTCTATAACTGTTTATTTATAAGGGGCACACGGGCAGGAGGCTCTTAATGCCATGGACACTCTTAATATCAGAGGGCTCGCGAGTGCGTTGCCGGCATTTGATATTTTTCTAAGAGGCATGTAAGTGTCTAGCCTTCTGCCTGTCAGCCAAATGGACTAATTATATATGGGATGTTGTATACAGAAAATTAGTGAAAAAGAATCTTTGTCTGATTAATTTATAAGTATCAAAAACCGTTAAAATAATATTGCATTAAAGAGAAGATGAGAGAGTTTGTGACTGTGACGTGTGCTCAAATTAGATGTTGAGACATCAAAAAGTTTAAACACATTAGTACCTGAAGATATACCTACTCCTCATATGTGTAACCTCACCCAACATATGTGTAATCCAGCACATGCCCGCATCAGTATGCGGCAGACATTCCCGCAGTCCTTGACCGCACTTGAACTTAGCCACAAACACGACACTTCTGTTTCTATTCACTTTCAAACGAAATATTTAAAATACTTCTTCAATTCTTTAATAAAACCGATGTTATAGATAAATTGACATTTTCTGTAAAGGAATTTAATTGTATAAAAAAGCTATCCGTTTCACCATTCGGTAGAATTATTTGGATAAATAGCAACAGGAATTTTTCAATTCGAACAAGTACTTACTGAGATACGCGCATACAAACTCTAAAGAATCTATCATTAATAAGTGTCGACTCCTGGGTAAAAGATCTCTAACAATCGCTTAACTTAGTAAAGACTGAGCCATCAAAAACATAACTTCACAACGCAGTTCTACCGTTAAGTAAAGTCAGTTAATTTATTCAGTCCATCCATACTTAAGGAACCATTTGTCTTAAGTTATTACGTAATTAGCTTTTTTTAAATGATTTTACCGCACTTAAGCAGGCCCACGCCATGGATGTCGGAGCTTGACACAAAGCCTTCTGCTATTCAGAGGGGTATCGAGACTCCACCCACTAAAAACAGCACTTCACACGCCCTTAAGATGTGCCTTCGGAGTTCGCCTGGCATTCAATCCAAGGGACCCCCTGGCTTATTTCGTAATTAGCTAACCTAACAACATCTTATACTGTCCATATCAATATCAAATCATATTTGATTGATTTGGCCAACGTATTTATACAATCGCTACTTGGTAACTGAAAATACAGGCTTTTAATCTACAGCGAAGTTATTGGGGGGCGAAAATGGCCTGAACTGCTACGAGAAAATGATTTTTTGCTCTACTAGATATACATTATTATCTACAATAAAGGAAGTAAAAAGTAATTCGATAGAAAAAAAACATAACCCATAGTTTAATAAGAAATTAGTGCATTAGACTTGACTGAAACTACATTCCTTCTCTCAACAGTTCCAAACAATCCATTTGAAATTCTGCTTGCTATATTATAAATTGACCAACAAAAGTGTTACCACGCATTTATTTTTGCAGCTGAAAAAGCTAATATATCCATAATGTGCACATTAAGCACTACGCTAATACTCATATGTTTAAGACAGATTTATTACATATATAGCAGAAGCTATAAGACAGGCGATTTGGTACAAAGGTATTTAAATTTTTTATAAATAGTTGTTAATTTTACAATCAATATATATATATATATATATATTTTCGGCTGGTATATATATATGGCTAACTAGTAAGCTCAGCTACATTTGTGCTATTAAAAATGCCTATATAAGACAATATTAATTCAAACGATTTATTCTTACCGTCTTATCGGACGATACCAACCCAAAGTGTATTTTATAAATAACTGCCGCGAACTTCGTTTCGCCTTAATTTTTTACTTAGCCTACCTTTTTAGTAGCTACATATGGAAGATTTTGCTGTGCTACCCAATAGAAACTGTTCGCTTTTCAGGAATAAAAACTTAGGTTTAAAACTGAATTTTTAAGGTTTTTAAACTCAAACTCAAAATATCTTTATTCATATAGGTAAACAGAACACTTATGAATCGTCAGAAAGAAGTTAAATGAATTGTAAATTTACATTTCCTACCAGTTCGCAAGGCAAGGGCGTAGAGCGGGTAAGAAGAACTGGCAAGAAACTTTCCGCCACTCTTTTTAAATTATATATAAAAATAAAAATAATAAATCAGTGGCGCTACAACCTCTTTAGGCCTCAGATTTCTGAATCTGTTTATGATCATTTTTTTTAAATCTAATAGGCAAGTAGGTGATCAGCCTCCAGTGCCTGACACGCGCCGTCGACTTTTTGGATATAAGACATGTCGGTTTCCTCACGATGTTTTCTTTCACCATTCAAGCAAATATTAAATTCGCACATAAAAAGAAAGTCTATTGGTGCACAGCCGGGGCTCGAACCTACGACCTCAGGTATGAGAGACGCACGCTGAAGCCACTAGGCCAACACTGCTCTAAATAGAAACTCGCGTTATTTATATATGTTAAGATTAATTTAATTTTTGGAATAGTCACCCGCCTCATTCAAAGCCACACAAGCAACCAAACATGCGCAAACAAAGCAAACATTTGAAATTATTACGCGCACAACCTGATGTATTGGGTGTAAAATTATATATTTACTGTCCTCTATTTGTCTACTACTCACTGACATTCATTACTGTATGTTAAAAACATATTACCACATGTCCAAATATAACTCCGGGTGTAACTTAAGACTACAATATGTGTGCTTAAAAGAGTACCGAGAGTTTTTTACGCCGGCTTTTTCTCTCGGCCTACACCCTCTGTCTTCTTTGCCGATGAGTAGGGATGCCTTCAAATTTAATGACGTGGAATAAGTGATACATGTATCTTATGTTCCATAATAAACATATTTTATTTTATTTTATTTTTTATTTTCTTATTGATTATCGCTTATTATCCTTAACCTCTGTTGGGGTAAGGGGTTTAATTTTGTTTGTCTTATCATTTATGTAAAAAATAACAAAAACGATAACTTCGGGCTTTAAGCTATAGAGTATCTGGATGTCACATGGGTCGCGTGTCCTCTATTACCAAATCCGACTTAGGGTCCTTCAAGAAAAGAGCGTAATTCTTAAAAACCTTATGGCATTGAGAGTGTCCATGGGCGGTGGTATCACTTAAAATCAGGTGAGCTTCTTGCCCGTTTGCTCAATGTTATGTAAAATCTATTTGATTGATTATGTTTAGGTATATATAATTATCCCGAAGCGGGTTGCTAGTAATATAAATATGTAAAGTAATTATTTTGTGTCACAGATTATGAAATCTATTAATTATTTTCAATCCACATTCGGTACATTATGTATAACTTTTCTTGTTTAATTTGTAGGCACTCAGTTGTATCGATTTGAGGCAAAAAACCATTTGTCGCGCGTCGAGGCAAAAAAACGCCAAACATCGTATCGTTAATATACAGAAGGTGTTAAATATATAGTGAGCCTATCCGAGAAAACACACGATTATTGTCAAAATTACTATTTATTCTTCCACATAGTCCACTTTTAGCTTAATACACTTGGCCCAACAATTTTCCAACTTTTCTAGGTCCTTTTGAATAGTGCGACTTCTGAAGACCACTCAAAATATGCATCAGTTTCACATTCGACCTCTTCATTCGTCGCAAATCTCTGTCCTTGGAGCCATCTTTTTAAGTTTGGAAACCGATAATAGTCGCTTGGGGCTAAATCTGGGGAATACGGGAGGATGGGGAAGCAATTCGAAGCGAAGCTCGTGCAATTTGGCCATGATTTTGATTGATTTGTGAGCTGGTGCATTGTCTTGCGAAAAGATGCATTTTTTCAGTAAATTCTGACATTAAGTGTTTGAAGGATGACAAATGTTAAAAATATAATCGGCTTTTCGCTTGGAAAGCTCACTACATATTGAACGCCCTAGTGACCAATATACATACTGGCTTACTTCACAATTGTAAACTTGCACTCTTTTGTGACTTCTTAAATTATAAAATCTTAATAACGTGAAATTATTTGTTATTATTTTAACCAAAAAACTGTACCTACGTAATACAATATTTACTAATTATCACGACACACGATTAGACATAAGTCGAAAATAATCTTTACTCAAGGAAGTGAAGCCTTACGGACGTAGGCTTTAGAAGTAAACAATTGTGAAAGATTTGGAGCCACTAGTGTATTAAATTAAATTAAATTAAACCACAAACTCAAAGAAAATCCTCTATGAGTTACCAAGGTCATAGACAAGACTTTTCTAGATTGGCCAAAAAGTATACGTAGTCTATGGAACTTTGACATCCGATCTAACAATACAATGACAGCGTTTTTATAATATTTTGCTTTTATAATTTTCTTTTTATGGCTAACTACGACAGAGCAGTAACAGTATTTTCACCAGACGGTCAGCTACTCCAAGTTCAATATGCCCAGGCGGCTGCCAGTCAAGGGTCAGCTGTTGTCGGTGTACGTGGTTCGAATAGCGTAGTACTCGCAGTGGAAAAGAGGATAGTCCCAGCTTTACAAGTGGAAAGAACAGAAAAGAAGATAGTGTTATTGGATGACCATATAATTCTTGGCTTCGCGGGAGTCAGGGCCGATGCCAGAGTGCTTATTTTGAGGTTTTATGATATTTAATGTAGAAAAGGTAAAGGTGAATGCGGTAGAAGATGCAGAGACCCCACGTCTCTACGCAACGCCAAATCTCTTAAAGCCACGAGACTGCCAAAATATATTAGATTTTGACGTACGAGTTTCGACTTCTTTCTTGTTCTCACTCTAAATTACTTTGTTAAATATTTTAGAGTTGTATACTAGAGTTGTAAACAACCATTGAGAAATAATTGTTTTAATACAATTATTTCACAATCGTTGTTAGTAATTCATCCTAGAAAGATATTAGAGCGACTCATGGCCATGTGTAATACCTTTTCAGAATCCCTATTAAATGCGCCAAAACTTGAAATACAGGGTCACTTTTCGGTAGAGTAATTTTTTTCACAGTGGGGTCCGAAGTAAACAAAATATTACGATTTGAAAAAAATCAATAGTATGTCTAACGCAAGTACTCATCAGTTCCAATCTAGTGGATATTATGAAAAAGATACAGGTTGTAGGTATTCGAATCGAATTTTAATAAGAATAAGTAAAAAAAGTCAATTTTCTTATAAAAACGCAAAATAAATTATAACTCTGCAGGGGTTGAGCTTAGAGACCTCCCGTAGAACAATTTTTTGCAGCTGATGACCTCATCTATCCCCTATTTGCGTTTGATCCACGACTTTTTGGCCACCCTGTATATATTTGATGAGGCCTGTCCTCCCACAACTAGCTGGAAAAAACTTCAATAAATCTTCGTTTTCGCTCAACAGATCACAAATGGAGTGTCAATCCTATCGCCTCACAGTGGAAGATTCAATAACAGTGGAATATGTATCCCGGTACATCGCCAGTATGATGCAGCAGCACACACAGAACAATGGCAGAAGACCGTTTGGCGTTTCCTGTATCATTGCTGGTTTTGATGCTGATGGACCGCATTTGTTCCAGACGGAACCCGCGGGGAATTTTTATGAGTGGAAGGTATATGTTTAAAATATGAAACTAATAAAAAATTTAAAAAATAAACCAAATATTGAAAGACGGACTGATGTTTCGACTTTTCTATTAAATATACCTGCCCCATCTGAATACAGTTAAATTCAGAAGCAAATATTGACTCCTGTCAAAGTAGTAAGTATTTGGGGGCAAGAGTTCTCTCTTCCTTTAAATAGGGACTTAATAAATTAACCGACTTTAAGTAAAAAAACTGAGTTGCGAGAAATGGTTTTTTTAGGTTCTTGATGGCATTACTATGACCAGAAATCACATGAAAACTTCGCTGTATTTTCAAACATTCAAATATTAGAGCTGTGTTGTTAGGAGTTAATTAGAAGTTTCTTTAAGGCCTGTTCAGCTGGAAGAGGAGAAAAGACTGTAAGAGATTACTTAGAGAAGAACTACAGTATAGAGAAGACATCAACAGACCATGGCACCATCCAGTTGGCTGTCCGCTCTTTGATTGAGGTCCAGAGTACAGAGAAGGAATTAGAGGTGTGTATGATAGTTTTCTTTTTAAAAAAGAACATAACTTAATACTCATTTAAATAAACAAATATTATATATTTTTCGTAGTTTCGAGTTTCCTTGTATTCAAATCATTCTAACAAAGTAATCATAAAATATAAACTATATTTGCATAGCAGTACTAATCAATTTTACAGGTGGCAATCTTAAAGAAGTCTTCGCCACTGGTGATGTTGACAAAACAAGCCATCCAATCGTACGTCGCGGAAGCACAAAATGAGAAATCTTCGAAAACCTGAAATTGCGCCATCTATGTTCAGATACCAGTACTACTTGTACTACCGAGTAAACACTTGTTTACTCGGTATTGACGCGTAATAGTAATATCTTATCATGACGACAGATGGTGTTACTAGTCAAGAATATATTTATTCGTATTAAAAATTATTATATTGCATTTTATTGATTTATAAAATATAACTAATAAATTTTTATAGCATTTACAAAGAGCAGGAAATAAAAGTGTATTTTAAATACACCATAAAATTTATAGATAAAAATTGGAATTTGTACTTCACTTCAAATTGTATAAAACCTGGTACAACGCCAAAACTTTTGACCTAAAAAGGAATTCTCAACTGTTGGTTATGAACGAAAAAAATATTTTCCGTTCCTATTTCCAATTGCGGCCGTAATATTTCAATGGTGCACCGTTATTTCATTATAACATGCTATCAATAGAGTAAAGTCTTAATTAAATTGTATATTTATTTGTAGATTAAAATGTACGTATAGCAGAAACCTTTAAAACATAAAGGATTTACGAAAACTACAAGGATGATTACGCTATAAATTCACGATAATAGTAATGTAAAAAAAATAATGTTTATTTTTTGTTCTCCAGATTGGTTATAAACCATGAGCACTAATTAATATCTTTGTAACACTACACCTTAGCTGTTCTTACCTGTAACAAAATATAAAAGTTTTAGTTCGACATCATCAAAATATAACAATTTTTTGAAGTTATACTTCTTTAGGCGCGTTATGAAAAATTTATGAGAGTGAAATTTTACAATGCGCGCGCACCCGTGACACAAAATTAGGAGTGTGATTATAGCGTGCGCGAGCGAGATAGGAATAAGACAATCTACAAGTAAAAAGAAATAGAATATGCGTGAAGTTCGTATGCCAACAATTTTGAATGACCATAATGACATTTGTCATTTACCTTTTAAACAAATAAAGGAGTTTTAATTATTTTTTCAAAAAAATTTAGCGATGCTTTTTGAATTATAATCAGAAGTGATTTAAATTGAATATTTAAACCAATACTAATTAATATTTGTGAAAAAACTGTGCTCATCAACCTTCCTAAGTGCGTCAATACAATTGAGGTTAACTATCCGTATGTATTATTATTATTATCGAGTAATGATTTGATTAAAAATTAACCACATTGTTTAATCAAAACATGTAATTTTCTGATTTTATCTAGCAAATATAAGGAAAAGAGACAAAAAACAATTGATGAATCAGTGTAACTGCACTAAATTGAATACAAAAAAGAGTTTTCATCTTATCGCTGTGAAACATCAAAAACTGGAGGTGGAACAAAGCCAAACTATTTTTAATATTGCCAAAGAAGTATAACTTCTTACGCGCGTACATAAGTACACGGACCCTTTTTTTAAAGGAAACGAGTAAATAAAACTCGGTGTTAGTTTAACCCTCTCTTTTAGTTCAACGACTATGTGATTTGAAAACTTTAGTAATGTATAATATTTAATGTAGGGTCGAGTTATCCACGCCAAATAAAGGAATTAACGCGAATAAGCTAATTTTGTTTCCTTCGAAGTAGAGACTTATGGGCCGTGGTGTTTAAGTACACAGTAAATTAAAAAATTGTGTTGGCTGGTAGATAGTACCGGTGACCCCAGAGCTGGTGCTTTCCTCGCTCAGCGAATAAGTATCGCAATACAGCGATGAAATGCTGCCAGCGTTGAAGGTACACTGCCACAGGAACCAAATTTTCTAATTATCACTTTTTAATTATTATTACTATGTATGTTGTTAATATAAATAGGACCTTTAATACGTTAAAACAATTTAATTCCTACATTCGGTCTTGTAAGAACATATTCCAGGTACAATTGGTCTCAGTTCACTAACATTCGTCAAGATTAATTCACCATTCAGATATAATCTACTATGAGAGATGAATGAAGAACTGTAGTACACTGGTAACGGAAATAACTCATTTAATTACCTTCCTTATCAAAGATATTGAACATCTTACGAGCTTAACAATAAATCAAATCAATTTCAGTAATTGCAAACTGTGCATTAAGTATAATCACTTGCAGGTTGATTACAGCTATTAATTTCGAAATGATGATTGATTTCTTTAGTATATCCTTTAGATACACAACTTTACTGGCCCGGCGAACTTAATTTATGATTTTATGAAAGAAATACAATATTTAGTTCACATTATTAGTTGTTATATATTTAAGTAGATATAAATTTCTGAACGCGTAAAGATTTGACAACCTATATATTTAAAGAAAACCCTTTTGAACGGATTGAAGCTATGTATTATTATAAACTTATAATTATTTTACATTTTTTTCCGACGTTTTGCGTGCTTTACAGCGTGGGTGGTCCTATATACATATTAGGGTAGGGCGGGGCTAGTTGAGCAATTTTTCACTTGCTTGGATATAGCTCCTCAA